GCAGTGTTACATTTGTGGTGAGGTTTATAAATCACCCTGTAATCACATCTAATTTCTGTTTTACTAAAACAAAGTTAGTGTATGACAGGATATTTTTTGAAGACTAATTCTTCAAGTCTTATCCGTAAATGGATAGACATTATCTTTAACATGCAAAGTGTTAATCTATAAATCTTGTTTGGGAAACTAATTTAAGTCACCATCTTACAGACTTAACCTGAGGTGGGTTGTAACTGCTTGCAGGTGGCCAGGCTCTTGCTGTTACTGACGAAATAGAAGAATATTTTAATAATACTATCTGAGACCAAACTTCAGTCAAGCAGATTAATAGATATAAGAAACTTGAAACCCCCAAGTAAACTATCTGTAGTGGAGTCGTCAGCTGTTTTCTGCAGGCATTGCTAATTCCCTATTGGCAAGGACCTAAGAACTTAAATACAGGTGGGATTTTACTAACTTCTTTGTTTTAGTACTTTGAGCCTGTTTAAATTTAGTCTTGTAATATGAACTAGTACAAAAATCTAGACCCTTGTGGTATCAAGCCCTATTAGGTTGTGGTTTATATTCCTTAGACAAAAGTAAGAATTACTCCTAACTGTTAGTGCTGCAGACAAATGTTGCAAGTTTGACTGTTCTGTTAGGAAAATTAAATATTTCCAATGTAAAATGGCTCATATGTCTCCAGAACTTGCAGTGTAGGGTTCTACATGATGGTACCAGTTAATCCTTTTGAAGTGGTTTTAAATTGTTCTGCCCTGACTTCAGATTTGGTGGCTGTGAATGTATCCTCAGGCCTCGGCTGCTGTAGTTAATTGTGTGCTCTGTCACTGCTGGTGAGGGTGGGTTGCTGTGGAGGTGCAACGTGTGTCACTGCGACACCAGCTCTGCAGGAGTGGAGCGTGTGGACATGGGTGTGAAACCTTTAAACTAACGTAGTTAGGAGTTCTAGAGGATTTCTGGCAGTTTGTAGTGTTCCAAATGGAAAGTGAAGGGAGTGGATGACACCAAAAGCCCTACAGGTCTGAACAGTGATATTGACTTTTTCATTATATGGGGGAAGTGAGAGCACAGTTTTTAAGGTGGACAATGAAGTATGTTGATCTTTGCAGCTGTTTAGGAACATCTGATGCAAAAAAAAAAACACCTAATTTTTTGTGGTTTCATTTGTGAGTTGGATTTTTTTTTTTTTGTAAGTGTAAGTTTATAGTGATGATTCTTAATAAGACTGAGGCTGATAGGAAAACAAAAGGCAGCAAGGCTGCTTGTCAAGCTTTGCTGCTGGCAGCCTGACTTGTGTCCTGGAGCCCAAATCTGCATTGCAAACCATATTGATGGGAGACATGGGAAGAGTTGTGTTGTTGGCAAAAATGAACAGTGTGTATTTTAAGGTCAGAAAATTAACTGTGGTTCTAAAGAACTTCTATACTCTTGGTTTTGTGGAAAGGTAAGGGTTGTCCCAGGGTTAGCTGAGTTACTCTATGTGGAAGTGACTGGTAATGGAACTGGAACTCTACTGCCACTACCAGGCTTTTCACAGCCAGCTGGGAGATGTTGTTGTTGCTCCACCTTTCCCCTTCCCCAGGTGAATTTACCAAATTGTTTGAACCTGCATGTCTGGTATCACCAATGTTTGGTGTCAGAGTTCCAGAGGTTTAACTTTGTATGAAGTACAAAACCACCTAAGATATAGAGATAGATGGAAGAGTGGAAACAGGCATAAGCTTATCATGGTATAAATAGTTTTAAGTAAAAGTCAAACTTTTAGCTTCCTCCCCCAGTAACACTTGCTGCTGCTTTTCTGCCCTGTTTTCCTTTTCATTGCAAACATTGTTGCTGTTTCTGATAGTAATCTTTCTCTTTTTGGTCTGGTTAAACAAACAAAAAGACTTTATTTCTGGTAGTTCACCTGAGAAGTGGAGAGGGGTAATCTGTGACTCATGAGTTTACAGCAGGTATTTCAGAATGGTTCAAACCTCCAATCTGGAAAGGCTGCAGAGCTTATTTTATATATCAACAGCAAGAAGGATCAAAATAGGGAAAATACTTAAAAGTTTTAGAGTTCTTTTGGACAGCTCATGTAGCACAGGATACATGCAGCCATAGTAACAGCCTATTCTCCCTGTGTGTACACTGACAAGGTCTAGAAATGAAGGCGTGTTTCAGACTTTTTCAGAGTCCTTTCCAGTAACAGTGTCCTCATTACTGAGGCAGACCTGTGGGGGAATTTTTTTTTTTTCCATCTCCAAAACGAGCTGGAACCATTCATGATCTCTGGTAGGAGACCTCTGTAGACAGCCCACTTCTTTCCTTAAGCAGTGGAATCATAATGAGGAGAGTAACAGCATGATCTTGTAAAACCTGCTTTATTTCCAAGGATGAAGTAGAGCTGCAGCAAGATGAAGAGAACCTTCCCTATGAAGAAGAGATTTACAAAGATTCCAGCACCTTTCTTAAGGTGAGCTGCTTTTGCAATTCCAAGTCAAAGCTGGCATAGTTGTGTTAAACTATTTCTGCAGTTGATGATACTTGAAATACAGCTATAAAGGCTGAAGTAATTGACTGGAATTCACAAGTATGGAAGTTTTCCTGTGAAAGATATGACTGTAACTGCTGTTTATATGGATCTGACTAAAGATCTGGGCCAACTTAGTATGAGCCACGGTAATGGTGGGCCTGATATTGAACTAAAAACACAATGGTGGTCTTGACTAGTGTAGCTTGCAAAGTCTCATTTGTCAGTGTGGCAGGTATAGAGTGTGCGTGTGTCCAGTTACCTGCCCGTTGCTCTCCCTGAACTTTCTCTCATTTTCCAGGGTACTCAGAGCTTAAATCCACACAATGATTACTGCCAACACTTTGTGGATACAGGACACAGACCACAGAACTTCATCAGAGATGTTGGTATGTCATAGTCAGTAACTGTGTGATGCAAACTCGTATTACTCAGTAGCATTTTTGCCTTTTTAAATTCCCTTTACCTGGAACTGTAGATAAGCTTATATCTAAGTTTTATCTCTCTGCGCATCCATATCAATATGTAAATTCATATGAACAATTTTATTTTTAATCAGGAGGTGATTTTTACTACGGCTCTTCTTGCTCTTGGTTTTATTTGAAAGTAAGCAAGCAATATGCATAACACCACCTAAATTAAGTAACTTCTGACACAACTCAATAGGAGGCAAAACATGTTATTGAGTTTAGAGGATATTATTTTTTAAGCTTCATCCAGCCATCACTGAACTGGTTATTGAAATCTTACTTTATTAGCCCTGAATTTAATCCTTCTAAACCTAAGGTATGGTTTGGTCCTCTTTCCTTCCCACAGTGGATGGTTGTTAGTTATTTGGTTTTCAGAGAAAAGCAGGATACTTCCTTTGTAGTTTCCTGCAGCAGTTCTCTGTGGTTTGTCAAATTTGAGATTGGGAGGGCAAGTGTGTCCTATTTATAGTTGTCAGTCCAAACTGGTTTTTTTTTTTGTCCATTGAAGCAGTTTGTTTACTACTTCTCTATTTTGTGAATGCTGCTGTGAAACACATCTGGATGTTCAGTATGAAAAATAGGCTGGCTTGACTCAGTTAGTCTTTATCTGAAAAGCATCTGTGCTTCACCTTGCTGCATAAAGAGTTGGGAAGGGACAGGACCAATGGTTATACAAGTGTTAGTCTGGAAATGAACATGTCAGCAGCAGTTAGTCCAGAGGCTGTATTAGAGATGAGGTGTGTGAAGTTCCGTCTTGGTTAACGTGCGTTTTCTGCATGCTGATCAGACCCTGCATAAGTGCTGCTTTGTAACTGGGCATGACCCTGCAAATGGCTGGGGAAGTAATGGTTCCAGAACACCCCAGTAAAGTGCTTTGGTGCTGCTGTTGAGAGAGAGACACCTCTGGGGTTCTTGTTTGGTGGCTATTGTTGTTCTTCTGAAAATAACTGAAGTTTTTTTAATTGAAGGTTGTTCTGTGTCTCTTGCACAGCTGCTGAGAACTAGCTTCTGTTCCTGCTGGTCAGGAGTATTTGAGTTGCACTGGCTGGCAGCAACACAGCAGTGTAATCACAAGAACACACTGGTGGTTTTAAGATGTTTTGTGTTCAAGGAGAAGAAAATAACTTCTGGGTATTTTATGCACATGTAATGAGAGATAAAGTTAGATGCTAAGAACTTTTGATTTTACCAGTGCAATGCTAGGGTTGGGAGTTCAGAACTTTGCATTAAAATAAGAAGAGGGGTGAAGGGTTGTAGGGTTCATGGATTTGGTTGGGTGTTTTGTCCCCCATGGACCATTTAAAGCTGTAAATCTAAATTAACATGAAATGGTTAATAAGTTTGTAAATAACTCCTGAAGTTGAACAGACACTGCCTAGGAGGTGGGGAATGGTGCCTTTTGGGCTTGTGCTGAGCCTACCTTACTGTCTCTGCATTTTTAAAAGAGAAGTGTAGCATATTAAAAAATTTGCTCAATTTTTTTTTCCTTAGTTTGCTGCAGACAACCTGATTAGAAATCTCCCTTTTGTATTGTGTACATATAAAATGTTTGAAAATTAACATAGTAAAGCCAGGTTTAGGAAACCGATAAATGTACATGTACTCAAATCTTCATGACTGACACCAGAGTCCTAACGCTGTGTAAGAGCCATGCTCCAGTTGCTGCCTTAGAAATAGCCTTCAAAGGTTAAAGAAGAGTATTCTGTAAACAAATGTTCATAATAATATTAACTTATGGGTGGGAGGATAACAAAATAACTTGCTAATCATTCTGGCACCTTCAGTTGGTATGAAGGGAGTTGTGAACTGGTGGCTGCCGTGTTCTAGAGGTGATTAGCGCACAGGACAGTATGTTCAGTCAGGGCTGTAATTAACGGGCTTTTCGAAGCACTGAACAAAAATCTGTTTTGAAGAGTTCAGTTTGTTCTAACAAAAATTCAAATGAGGCTAAGTATTAATGTTTGGACCCATTCAGTTGTTAACTTCATGTTTTCTTCTTTTAAGGCTTAGCAGATAGGTTTGAAGAATACCCAAAACTTAGAGAGCTCATCAGATTGAAGGATGAGCTGATATCTAAATCTAACACTCCTCCCATGTAAGTGTTGCTGTGGAAAATGCCTTTCTTCTCCAGGTCTGTTTGAAGTCAGCTGTCTGCTTTGCAAATCTCTAGCTTTAGCACCTGCTCAGAATTTACATTTTCTATTTGTATATGCAAATTAATCAATTGAAACTTCAGAAGAATAAAACCATTCTGGTTTTGTTACTTCAATCTAGAAGTTTAATACAGTATATAAACTAGATTTTTCTTTCCAGTCTGTGATTATTTGTAGTATCTGGAGCTTTGATTTTTAAGATTGAACTGTCAGCTGATTGGGCTGCAGGCTTTAATTTGGAGACTAAAAGAATATCATATGATTGTGAGTCTCATGTTATCACACAGTTTACAATACCAAGAAAAGCTTTAAAAAATTGGCCTCTTAATGTAACCTTAGTTGTTCTTGTAATAGTTTTTTCTTTTTATATAATGTTCAACTATTACCTTCATATCCATTACTCAGATGTCACTTCACAAATGAAGAGCAAAAAAAGTTTAGGTCAGCTGGAAGCAATTTGTCCTGTTAACTTTGTATTGCCTCTGAGGTTTCTGCTGAATGTTTGTTGCAGTATAAATAAGCAAGTGGCATGTTACTCCTGGGAGTTTGAACCCATCTGAATGTGGAGGGCAGTGTAATTTTTTTGTTAGCATATAATAAATGTCAATTTAAAAGATATACTACTTTCCCAATGTGAAGCAAAACAGTAATCTGTTAGCCAGGCAGTGAGTGTTCTCCTCTTAAATGTTGAGGTTTTCTCCTGTATAGTCCATGGATATACAGAAAGTTTGGTAGATTGTTATACACCTTCTATGAGAATCTGTTTCCTGCTTGCTGAATTGGAGTCCTAAAAACTTCCTTGAGATAGAGACTGCTTTAAAATAAATGGGATACAGCAGCAGGCAGCCTGGGTTAGGTGCACGTTACTCATCCCCTCTGGACTGAATGCGTTTGAGCTGTGTGCCACAGCAGAGCCTGCTCAGGCTGCGCAGGAGGGGTGTGGAGGAGAACTTTCAAACCACTGCTGCAGTCTGTTGTCTCTTGTTTAAACAGGTACCTACAAGCAGACTTGGAAGCTTTTGATATTAGGGAACTGAAGTCCAAATTTGATGTGATTCTCCTGGAACCACCGCTGGAAGAATACTACCGAGAGACTGGTATTACTGCCAATGAAAAGTGCTGGACTTGGGATGATGTAAGTGGCTTTCTTGCTGTGGAAAGGATTTTCTACATATCTTTAAGCAAATAGTCTGAGGATTTAATTTGGTATCAGAACGTTTTGGAGATGTGTTTTAGGGGGAAAAAAGGGCTATGGTTTTTGTTTTGTTAATGAAAAGTCTAGAATCTTGTATAAACTTTTATGTTGTATACATGCCTACATTGTTTGTGTTAAGACTTTTTTTTGAGGAGTTCACTGACTTTAAATACACCCTTTTATTCTCCCTGAGCTCAGCTGAAAACTGAAATCAGGTAATAGTGGGTTTTTTCTCTACCTTCAAATTCCATGAATTTTCTTTGCTGTATGGTTTTTGCTGTTGAAATTTGGAATATCAGTTGTAAGCATTGCCTTGTTTCTTTAAACTCTTGAAGATATCTTTAAGGTATGTTTTAGGAACAAGGAGAAATCTTAATGTGTGAGGTGTGATTTTTTTTTTTGAGATCACTGTTGGTGCTTTTGTTTTATTGTGCTCTAGTAAACGTTTAGAGAATTGAGTTAGAGAAGATTTCAAAGCTCCTTCTGTAGATGCTTGTAAAGAGGGAAACACTCAAGATCTGTTGATAAGTAACTCTACTCCGTATCTTTACCTGTTCAATAAAGTCAGCTCTGGAAAAGCAAGGTGGGGGGCTGGAGGATCTGAAGTGCTGGATGTTATCAAGCATAACAATTTGATGACACAAAGCCTGCTGCCAAGTTGCCCTGTCATTCCAGGACTGAACCAGAGAATTCCTTCACTTAGACACTGAATAAAAAAAACCTCTGAATGCTAATGTTAAAGGGTGATAAAATTTGCTCTATTCTATGTATCTACACTTATTTCAGTGTTCAGTTGGTGGGCGATGATGGTACTGCTTAAAACTAGGTTTGGTTTGTCCTTAGGCCAAAACCTGCAGATGCATAACTTCAGAAGTGTGTCAGTCAAACTAAAGGATCATGAGAGCAAAATAAAACTCGGGAATGAATTTGATAAGGAAGGCATTTGTGCCTCTGATAAGAGACTAGGGTAGCTACATGTTAAGGAGTAGGTAGCTTCAGTGTTAGCCATTCTGTTACATCAGGCAAAAATGTTGGCCAGGGTAAAAACATCCTGTCCTAACAGAAAAACTGTGTTGGAGGCAGGAGTTGTCCTCTTATCTTAGATGGGAGTTATCTTCTTAGGATGGCATCTACTGCATTATTTTTTCTCTCAGTGGCACAGAATAAAGTTTGATGTGTCAGCAAGTTACTGCCGAATCTTTTCAACTTGTAATAAGTAACAGATGCTTTCCATCTGAAGTTATTTCATGCTGAATGTTGCTCATTTGTCATTGTTGAATTGCGGTCCTGATAAATTTTTGCTGCTTTTTTCCTGGAAGTGAAAGTGGAGCGAATGTCTTTCCTTTGTAGTGATGGGAATTAAGCTGTTTTTTTATGGTGTCTTCACGAGCTTCACATAAGTAACTCCAGGGCTGAAAAGACACAGAGCATGATTGCTCTGTTATTAAATCTTCTTAATACCAATGGAATAAAATGAGGCAGAGGTCTGGGGGGTGGGGGGAAATCATGTGGCTTGTATTAGTTTAATTCTAGAATTTTCTGTACAGGTAGAATTTCTGTTAAAAAGAATTATTGATCTTTTCATCATTGCTGATGACCAGTTTACTTGCGTACTGATAAAGGTAACTTTTCTGGAAAAGAGTTTTAAGAGGATGGCTGTGGATGGGGTACAGACTAATGTCTTTAATAAAAATGCTTCCTGACGGTTTCTGTACTCATGCTTCAACACTTACTAAAGCACCAGTTATATCAGGAGGAATGTTTATATTTAATTCAGAAACACTTTTATTACTATCGTTATTATTAGATTATGAAATTGGAAATTGAAGAGATTGCAGCCCCGAGGTCATTTGTGTTTCTGTGGTGCGGTTCAGGCGAGGGTCTGGATCTTGGCCGAGTGGTAAGATAATGTTTTAATTCAATTTATAAGAGACAGGCTTAAGAGTTTATTTTTATCATTGACTTTTCTGTATAGAATTCTTAACTGTAACCGCTGAGCAATGTTTTGTTACTGTGGCAGCAGATAAATAATTTTAAGTGGGTTAAATAAATGTAATTGTATCACATGAACAGTATAGGTACTGTTGTTTTCAAGCTGAGTTACTGTCACACTGTGTTCTGCCAATGACCAGGCCCAACAAAAATGATACAGCCAGCAGGAAGAGAAACCAATACACAGACTGTATTGTAGACAAGAAGGACATTCCATGAATGATCGCTGGGGGTACAAACAGATCAATCAGCTGGTACATAATTGACGCCATCCCCCAACGATCCCACAAATGACATGACTCGGCCCACTACAGGTGGTACAAACAGAGACCCGAGGTTGCCCACAGTTGGCATGGGAAACAGCCAGACCAGCAAGCTGAACACATAAGAGAAAGGTGACCACATGGTGACTCTCACCCGATCGGCCCGCGTTCGCAAAGGTCTTAAGCAGACTGGGGCCCAGCTCCAGGGAGAGTCAGGAGGTCTGCCCTGAACCAGGAAGCTCTGTGGAGTGCACTCCACAGACAGACACTCCTGACTCCCTGCAAGTGGTCCCAGCTTTTATCCCCAAGCAGGGACCTGACCTTTGTCAACTCAATGCGGGACCCCTGGGGCTCATTTCCCTTCTGGCTCTCCCTGCAGGGCCGGCCGCACCCTGGGGGGAAGCTATAAGGCAAACTCACCACCTCTGTATGAAGGGCTGTGGCAATCACCCATACGTCAACCTTAATTCGGGGCTCGGGGTTCAAACCCCAGCATTTCACGCTGTGAGGAAGCATAATTCTATAGGTCTAGAAAGCTTTGCTGCTGTCTTGTTTCTGGTGTGTGTGTTGCTGTAGGAGCAGGTTTTCATTTAGTTATTGTAGTGCATTTACAACATTTATTTTTCACAGAAGTCTTAATAGTTTTCTGCCAGAAATATTAATGTTTCATAAAGTGAGATACAGCTGTGTGCATAGCACCTTTTATTTTCAGAAACACCTGGGAGTTCGAGTAAGTTTACTCTTAGTGAGCTCTGTGAAGTTCTACTTCCCTGTAAGATCTTGGAGTTGCAATCATTGTTTATCTGTATGCCAGGGCAACACTGCTTGTGTTGGGATGCTGGACTGTGCTGGAACATTCTTTGCTTTGTTTGAGCAGTGCTTTCTATTTAAACAATATGGTCTTGGGTAAAGGACAACGTGCAGTTACTCATCTGTTGGCTTTTTCCTTCTGAAGTTGGTTAAAGTAGCTACTTCAGTTAGATGGACTTTGGCCATAGAAATATTCATAGTTGTGGAAAGTCAAATGAGCTTGAGTCTTCAATGCATGAGTTCCTCACTTTCCAAGACTATACTTACAGGCGTTAAGGGTTAAAAAGGCATCTGTCTCTTTTTTTTTTTTTTTTTTTGGGGGGGGGGGGGGGGTTTTTTTAAAAAAAAAAAAAAAAAGTTTTTTGCTTTTTTTATCTTCCTGCTTATAGAATTTTACACTGATGTGAACAGCTACCAGACTACAGGTTTTACTGAAGGCAGGCCCAGGGCAGCCGGTCACTATGTTGCTCAGAGCGATCTGCATTAAATTTGTGTCACTAGGTGAGAATGAGTGCAGAGTTCCACTGTGAATCTGTGCTGTGGTTAGATACTTGTCTGTGATTTTTTTTTTTTTGTATGTGTTTTAGAATTGTCCACATATTGCCCTTCTGCTTAAAAAAAATAACAAATACAAAACTATGCGCACATAAGCCAGAGTGTGTTATGTTTTGTTTTGCTTTTTTTTTTTTTTTTTTTTTGGGTGAGGTCAGCATGACAAAACATAACACAGACATGCAAGTGAACTTGGGTTTCATTCACCTGTGACAATTTTCTCTTCCAGCTGTGCTTTAAGAAAAGTGAGGTACCTGTATGAGCATTTGGGTTAGTTCACACTATATCAAAACCTTAAGTAACCTATTTTATCTGTCTGATATTTAGTGTCTACGCAAATGGGGTTACAGAAGATGTGAGGACATTTGTTGGATTAAAACAAACAAGAACAATCCTGGAAAGACCAAGACTCTAGACCCTAAGGCTGTTTTCCAAAGAACCAAGGTAAAGATGTGACTCAGTTTCTCCTCTGTTCCCACCCTGTCTCTTCACGCTAATCAAACACATGGTGCTCCACAGCAGTCAGTGACACTGTCAGGAAGGCAGACTTGAAGGCTTCAGAGTTGTGTTCTGCAAAGCATGTATTATGGAAATAGACATACTCATAGGATGAATGCTGAACTTAGGTCTCCTTGACTTCAGTCTGTGAGAGGTATAGAAGTTTCTTTTGACATTCAACACTGCTTGTTGAAATGCAGGTGGATGAGGCTTCAGACTCAGGGAACAAGAAGGAAGTGGAAACTTCAAAGAAAATGTGCCCAGAGTGTGAACCAGATGGATAGAGGGCTGTTAGGTACTGTGGCTCCTCAGTCAGCATCTCCTGACTTCTGGAGGTGGCTGTAAATGCACAAGTGACAGTATCAGTCACACTGCTTTAAATTAAACAGTGTCTTAGGAATGTGTTGTGGAAAATGTGTGTTGAAGAAGGTGCAGAGAAAATAAAAAGTCTGATTTAAGAGACTCAAATGTATGTTAATAAAAAACTTCTAAAAATGTTGCTAGTATTAATAAAGAATTGCTTTGTCTATATGTGGATATAATTGTGGCAGTTTTACTGAATAGAGAGTTGGCTGACAGTTTAACAATTTAAATTTAAATTGTCATCAACCTCAGGACTCATTCCACATTAATTATATGTTAATATTAAGCATCCTCAACTCTGTCTCCAATTTGCCATTTTTAGGAGTGTAAACTTCTCTTTAAGATATCTGGAATCTTCCTTTGACTTGCATTTACATTTATCTGAAGTGTGTTTGAAAGTGTGTTGTATTGCTTATAAATATTTGTAAGTATAAATACTGTATGTTTATTGCTGATAGTATTGCAACAGTGCAACTCGCTTGTGAGGGAGAGGTTAAAACTAACACAGGAAGATCAGGGGGACCTCACGTCTTTGTTTAACAGAGAATAGTTCCTGGTATTAGAGAATTTCTGTGTTTATTGAGCAAAGGTTGGGCTGAAGTCACTGGTCATGATAAACACTGAAAATTGAACTAGCTTATTGTGACTAAATAAATAGTCTCTTGTGCATGTTTTTACCAACAATTCCAACAGCAAGTGCTGTTCTTGTTAAGTTTGGACAGCTCTCGAGGTGGTTGCTTTATGCTGTGCCACCTGTTCTAGAATCTGAGGTACTCATGAATGGCATTCTGTGTGTTATGAAAATAAAATGTTTTGGATAATTCTTTTAAAGACTAGATTTACAAGGCTTTGCTTGATGAGTAATTTGTCTAGCAGTATTATGCCTTTTCATTTAGTTACATTTAAGGTCAGAAATCCCTGTGGCTTGGGTGCAGTTGATCAACTGCATAGATTTGATAGGTCATCTATTCTGCCTTTCATATTTATTTACTAAATCTTCAAACCCTTGCCAAAAACCTGGAAGTGATTACATGCTCTTGTCTGTAACTTCTTTCAGAGTCATCTGGTGGCACTTAGTGAATCAGTGTCTTATGATGTTGGGGAAAATGGCTCATTTGAGCTGAATATTCCCAGAAACAGAACTCTGAAATGAGTGTGTAGAACCCTTTTTTCATCCCCTAGCATGGTGATTCCTCATTCATAGGTTCTATATGCTAGTCACTGAAGCTATCTTCAGGGCGTTAGAGGGAAGGAGAGCAATGACTATTACAGTTAAAAGAACACTTCTAATGCTGATGGAGCTGCTAGGGACTGCACTGACTGTTTGGGAGTGGTTTTATATTTTTTGGTGCAGTGATTCCTTCTAGAAAGGAATCTGAGGGTGAAGGCTACTTCTGTAACCAAGGTGCAATATATAAAAGTACATCTTACTTTCACTGACTGGTTGTATAATGACTGAGAACTTGTATGAATAAAGTTAAAATCAGAATGCTGGTACAAATATTAATCATAGTTAGTAACTATCCCTTTACTTCTGCCATCTCTTCATGCTCTCTTTCCTTGTGGTGGTTTCTCGTACTTTCCAAGTCAGAGCTTTAACTTTTGTTGTAATTGAAGAAGTCCAAATATCTTTATCTCAGCCTCCATTTCAGTTTTACCACTTCATAGCATAGTTCATCAAGCCAGATTGCTTAAACTACTCTGCTTTGCTTTCAAAAGTCTCTTTTGGTAGCTCCAGCTTGTTCTGTTCTAGTTCATGCCTCAGGCTTCTCTCTGCACAAGAGCAGGAGCTGCTCTGCCTAGAGCTCCCTTCCCTGTGCCCCGTGGGGGCGGTGACGGGCGCTGCTCTGTGCTGTGTGTGCAGGAGCACTGCCTCATGGGCATCAAGGGAACCGTGCGCCGCAGTACGGACGGCGACTTCATCCACGCCAACGTCGACATCGACCTCATCATCACAGAGGAGCCCGAAATCGGCAACATCGAGAAACCCGTGGAGATTTTCCATATCATTGAGCATTTCTGCCTTGGACGACGGCGGCTGCATCTTTTTGGAAGGGACAGTACAATTCGACCAGGTAAGTGTTATGTTTATTTTTGTCAAATAGGTAAATTGTAATTTACTTTCATAACCCTCCTCCATCATCTGGGGCTACTTGGAAGGTTCTGATGGAAGCTGAGACAATGATGGTTAATCCTAATGCATGATTCTTCTGCCAGTACTTGCACCATCTGAGTAACTGTGTGTTTCTTAAAGGCCTTTTTCAACTTAAGTGACTGTGATTCTGTAACACCATTTGCCCCACTGTGGGATTATGATACCACAGAAAGCCAGATAAGCTTTCTTGGTGACTTCTCCATAGTGGAAATCTAGTCAGGAGTGAGAAAATACGCTGGATGGAGACACTTCCCAGGTTTCCTGTCCTCCCATTCAGGTAACTAACCAGCCTGATGTTCAGCAACACAGGGGTTGTGGTATCACTTGACAGTTCTTCTGACACAGTGACAGTGGCAAAGTGACTTTTACTGTAGTTAATGTGCTGTCCCTCATGACAAAATAAATAACAGAAAATTTTGCTGGAACTAAAGATCTCACATGCATGTTTTCTTAGTGGGAATGTCTGTCTTGGGGTGAATCCTCAGCCTGTGTTGCAGGAGCATGTGACAGAATCCTGTTAAGTGATACTACAGTTAGACTCGCTCCCACACATAACAGAAATTATAACCTAAGTCACAAATCCAGTTAACGCTGCTTCCTCTTAAGTTTTTGTCTTATAAATATTTGGTTTTAGAAGTAAATAGCAAGACTTTTATGCATGTATTTTCCCTGTTATTTTTCACTCAAAATGTTGATATTATTCAGTGTTCTACTGGAATACCAAAATGTATAATTTCTCTGGTTTTAAGTTCTTATTCTGAATATTTTCTTTCTATTAAGCTTGTGTTTTTAGACTTGATAGTGAAGTAAACTCCACACTAGCTCTGAAAATCGAAGTGTCTTTATGATAAGCAAAACAGAGTACCACAATTCTCTGCTGTAAAATCTGTATCAGTGTCCTGAAGAGGTTTCCAGAACTACATTGTAGGCTGGACAGTAGCCCTCAAGGAGATGATAGATTTTTGGTTTATGGGAATACCTGTCAGTTACATAACAGTGTTGTTTGGAAGGTCTGTGACAACGGTCAGTTTTTTCAGGAGGGCAAGTTTTTATTAACCAAGGATGTCAGTCTTAATTCTTGTTACCTCTGTGTGTGGAGGGGGGCTGTTTGATTTTGCAGCAATACAGGTATTGCTTCAGTGTTGTTGTAGGTGAATTCTTAAATGTTAATGTCCCACAGGGTCTTGTTAGTCTGATTCATATTCTGTATTTTTTAAATTAAGTTATTGAAATGTGTAGGAAGGAAGGTAAATGTTATGTAAATTCCCAGAGTAAAGGAGAAGAGTGTTAAAGTCCAGATCCTGGGGGTTTATTATTGTTGTTTTCCTTTATAACCATACGCTCCTCTTTTCTTCATTAATATATGATACAACTGAAAATTAAATTCCCACTGACATTTTAAAATGAGACGCTCAGACTACTTAAGGTCCACTTGAGCTCATAATATGAAGGAATAGGAAGGAACACATTTGTTTTATGTCTGCCTGCCTTGATTCACTTGGTGCTGCTGAAGTGCCCACTGAATGTTTGTGCATAAACAGGTTAATTTAACTCTTCAAGGTCTATTTTAATATTGTGTGGGCTTCGGCAAAATTGTTGGTTTATCGTGTCTTCAGATAGGTGCTCCCACCCTGCTGTGTTCTTGACTGCACTGTCACAACTGGTTTCTAGAAACAAAATTGCCTAAATCCAGTTTAAATGACTTTTGAAAAGGGGAGGAGGATGATGGTGTTATTGTTAAATCACATTAATTTACTGATCTAGTTTAATCTGGTCCCAGAGGGCCTGGAAAACGTTGTGGGGTAAGAACAAGTAGAAAGGGGTCTTGTGAAACCACAGCATGAATGTTCCTGTAGCCATGTGGTGTTAAAAAAGACTAAAGAAAAGAAGCCCTTAGAAATATGAAACTAAAATCTTAATTTTTCAACAATTCTGGCCTTCCTGGAGGTGCCCTTTTAATTCTGTTCAGTGCAGGTGACATGTGGGGAATTGTCTGTCCCTGTGAGTCATCATTTACAAGGAAAAAGTGACAGCCTTGAAGCATGGTATTTGTTCTTGGCTGTTGTTGACTCTGGTTTTGTTCCCCAGGTTGGCTGACTGTAGGACCGACCCTCACAAACAGCAACTTCAATGCAGAAACATATTCTTCATACTTCACGGCTCCAAATTCCCACCTGACTGGCTGTACTGAAGAGATTGAGAGACTTCGGCCCAAGTCACCACCACCCAAGTCCAAGTCTGACCGGGGTGGTGGTGCTCCAAGGGGAGGGGGAAGAGGAGGGACTTCAGCAGGCCGAGGAGAAAGGGGCAGAGAGAGGAACAGAACTAACTTCCGGGGTGAGAGGGGTGGCTTCAGAGGGGGACGTGGAGGAACCCATAGGGGAGGCTTCCCCACCCGCTGATGACTGTTAGGTAACTGCGCCTTCCCTGCTCCTCTGCCTCACCTCTGAATCTTTTTCTTAGCCTTGTTTTTGATAAAGTGAATTGTTCTAGGGACTCAATCTAGGTGACTTTTGAAACTGTTGTTGGTGCAAGTAGTGACAGAGTCCTCCTTCCAGTGACCGGCCTGGCACGTCACCTCACCCGGCAGGCAGGGTCCTGCACCTCACAGCACTCGGCTCGGCCTCCTGACAGCTTCTCTTCATCCGAACAGAGCGCGCCACCTCTCCAGCCACGGGTGGGATTGAAGGGAAGACACCTGCTCTGCCCTTACAAAACTTTCAAGTTGTGGGGCCTTTTTAACTGTCACGTTCTCCAAAACAGGGATTCCTTTTCCTTTGGAGGTTCAGGTTTGGACTGACTTGGATTACTGAAATGGAACAGGCATAAAATGCAGTTCTGAACTGTATGGCTGTAGCAGACTTACTCTCTTAGAAAAAGTGCTGTGTCTACAGTGACACCTATTTTAACTTCTCTGAAACCAAGGAGCAAACTGAATAAATAGAATTCTATTTTTTCTTATTTGGTTTAAATTTCCTGATTATTCCTGGGAATAGGGAACAACTTGACTTTTCATTTGTGGTGTATTTGCATTCATGGCTAATGTCTGTAGTGGGAAGAGTGGCAATTCCAGGCAGTCATGTGTTGTGCTTCACAGAGAGCAGGAAGCTGTGCATTTATACGCAGTCAGCATTTCATATGGGTTGTCTTGCTTATTGAGCAGGGATCTGCACCCAGCGCCTGTTTGTAGAAGCCTTGGATTTTGGTGGAGAAACTCACTCATATGGCAGAGCGATTGCAGTGTAACTGTTAGAAAGCCCTCACTGGAGGTTGTACTGGAAATGTGGTGTAAGAGTGAGCACTTCCTGAGAGTAACCCCCTGGGTAGGGAGGGCGCAGGAATTGAACAGTGTTGCTTTGCCTGCGGACGTTGCCCATGTTGGACCTGGACGGTTGGTGATCAGTTCCAGAGTACCATGTGGAAAAAAGCCGTTCACTGTGGTACGTACAATATTTGGTTTTGGCACAACCACAACTCTCAACTTCTTGGTTGATAACAGGGTAGACTGAACAAACTGGGCTGTTGGGAGTCTTAAGTGTTGGAAAATTGGCTTTTAAGTCTCATAGTGTTTCTCTGTGGAAGCCAAGATTTTAAATAACTGTTCTGTAAAGTAGTAGATTATTAAAACGTGTTTATTAAAGCTAATGTTGAAATATTTTTCTTAATATTTTTGAGGGTTTGTTCTTCTGGTTTCAGAATTACCAAGTTTTACAGTAATTTCCTCCATAGTGTTGTAAAAGAGCAGGCAGTAACTGGTCTTTTGGTGCATTCTTTTGGCTTTTTACTCAAAAAGTAAATATTAGAGACACATAACCTTAGGAAGGTTGATTTTTGCCAGTGAGAATTCTTTCTCTTTTGTTGTCAATTAGTAAGAAAATGTTAATTTCTCATTCCAAGTTGGGCTGCTGCTCAAGTCTTCAGTGACTTAGGAAGTATTGCACATGGTCTTGTAACAAACACCATATCCCTCTTGAGCATGCAGAGTTTGGTTTCTTGGGTTTTTTTTCCTCTCAAAGGTGAAATAGCTGAAGTAGCATAAAGAAAAAAGAATCCTGCTCGAGGGAGCGTTAGATCTGTCTGGCTGGGTTGGCTTCACCAGGGCAGTGCGATGCGCACTTTGTAACAAGGAACCGACTGCACAGGGGCAAGGAAATGGAACTGGCTGGGCCTGTGGAGAAAGAGGGACGCCTGCTGGCTGTACCTGAGGGCAGCGTTTCGGCAGTGCAGGGCTGCCTGTACAGGTAGGAGTAGTGCCCAGGTGTGAGGAGCACACCCAGTGGCTGTGCCCTGGGGACTGGTGGTTGTGGAGGTGATACTTGGAAAGTACTGTACTGAGACACTCTTCTCCCACCCATTACACAGTAAAAACAGCTGGTCATTATTTTAATCACTGTTGATTTGGACCATATCTAAAGTGGTGTCTAGAGATGAAAAGCTTTTAATGCCAGTTAATTTCTAACTAACTTGTAACGCTTTCCCAGGAGGAGGCGGCTAACTCGCATAATCGGCAAACTGGTGAACATTTCATTTACTGCAATGAAATGAACACTTAATTTGGGCATGCTGGCCTTGCAGATAAGAACTCTTAACAAATATCTGATTTGGGATGGCTGTTTAGATGTTGTCATAGCTTTCCTTTCTGGAAGAGGCTTGTGGTACTTTGACTCTTACACCATATAAGAACTGAGTGAAGGATTTGACAATTCCACTGGCGAGACACTCAGCATGTCTTGGCATTTAGCTTCAAAGGGATTTAAGGCATCGGTCAGCTGTAAATCGCTGTGTGTGAATCCAGCCATCAGCTTGAGCATTCTTTGTTTCCTGACATGGCTGGTTATCAAAAGCTGGTTGAAATGCTGGAGGTGCTGGGGAGGTTAGTGGGTTTGAGGTTCTTCCCCAGCATGGTACCACAAACACAGGCTCACTGTGTGTATGTGGGGATTCTGAATGCTTTTTTCAGTGGAGGTGATGCTGCAAACTCAAGACCAGTTTTGATATGACAATGGAAGTTAAATGGCATTAAGTCAAGGGATTACTTGTAGAATACTTGGATGCTTTAAAATCCTTGGCAATGGAATAGAACTATCCAGAATGCATTCTAGAAAAGAATCATAGAATCATAAGGGTTGGAAGGGACACTTCAATGAAGAATGAACACTTCAAGCCCATGACATTGAAAACATCTAAGTCTTGTTTCTTGAACTTTGCTTTTTAAGGATACATTAGTAAACTGTAATTACTAGCTAATGGGAACCACTGTTTTTCTATACAATTAAAAAAAAAAAAAAATTTCTCCTTCCAAAATGGGTAAATTTTGCTGTAGTAGAAATTGCCCCCTGTAACAGGATGAAGGTCAACTTAGTATCATGGAAGAAAGTTTGCTAGTCATTTTCATAATAGTCATTCTCTTGGGTGAGAAAGCAATAGGTCAGTTCTGTGGCAGAACTTGAGTCCAGTTGTTGCAGCAATTAAAAAGATGGGGCAAAGGTTAACTACTGTAAATCGGGGTTGAATGTTACAGTGCTGCTGTTTATGCTGGAGACAAGAACTGCACTTGTAACATGGCTGTGTGATAACTTGTGCAGTTGCTGCAAGAGCTGCTCTATCACCACGTGTCTGTACTGCTGCGCAGGTTTAGGCATTACTGTGTCTTAACGTAGGTGAAATTAACTGTGAAAGGCTGGGTGCTGACAAACTGCCCATGCCAGTGTAACAGCTTTGTTTTACTGCAACTTTGTTCTGAGCAGCTCCTCTGCCCATGACGTCCTGCTCGCTGTAGGCTTTCCCAGTCCACAGGTAAGTGACATGTACACTTTGCTTCCAAATTTGAGGTGTACAACAGGTTACCCTAAAGTAGTGGGTTGGTGCTGCTCATGAACAGACCAAGTAGAAGGTGCACACGCTTGTGGTGCAGATGTGATCTGGCCAGAGGCAAGCTCCACAGAATAAGGTAAGGAAATGGGTCTGAGGCAGGAGCTGGCTGGGAAGCAGCTCTCCAGCTTCCTATTGTTGAGACAGAGTTTGAGCAGGGCACCTTGTTATAACTGGGGGTGACGCTAACAGCAGAAATGCACTGAAAATTCTGTAAGGCTGAGCACACCTGTCTTTAGTCAGAGTAGGCTAAGGAGACCTACTGTGGTATTTACTACTTGTTGGATGTACGACATTATTTACCCTCTACAGGAATTCTTGTTGCTAATTCAACTTTGCCACGTTCCCTGGCTCCTGCAGTTGTTGTAACAAACTTTGTATTTTGTCTTCCTGTCTACACAGGGAAAGGCAGAGGGATGAGGTACATGAGCCCTAAAGCCAGTTTCCAGTGCTGGCTGTCCTAAATCCATGTTCTATAGTGTCCTGGGACACTAGTTGTAGGTGCTGCTGTTCAAGAGGTGTTGGGGTAGCTTTTGGCAGAGGCTGACAGCATAAAAAAACCAGAGAACTTGGCATATGAAAGAATAAACACACACTTGATGTACAATCATCAATCGATTTAATGATTGCTTAATTTTTTTTACACATAATATTGCTGGTGTAACTTTATAAAGTACCCTGATTTGGAATGGCAACATACTTTTTACAGGGTAATGTCTTCAGCTCAAAAGTGTTTGCCTTGGCAGCTGGATTCATTCTGAGGATTATTTTATAATACAGCCACTTACTTCAGGAGCTCTCAGTCAATGCACAAGGATACCACTGTTCTGAGAAGCTGTTAAAAAATGTGCATCTTGACTGCTTATCTTGGATATTAAAATGATTGAGTAGTGACGCTAACATATTTAAAGGCACTTATTCTTTGAGGCTGAACTCTTATCCTTTTGAGGCTTTTTTACTTTCTTTGAAACACTGATTTTATTTTATTTTTTTTTTTCGTAAAAATAGCTTTTCAAGTTTGGAGAAGTCCAAATCTCACATGGAGTGGCTTTGGTCCTAAAGATACAGACGGATTGATGAGTAAGGTAAACAGCTCTGCAAATGCTCTGGCTTTCTAAATTCTATCTTAAATATTGGTATTAGTAGAAGCTTGTTTTTCAAAGCAGTGGCTGTTGAATAAATTGGTCACTGTAAGAGAACTGGTAATTAAATAAGGCTTTCTTTTTATAGCACCACAAATAAGCTTTGGTTAATGTGTCAACTGTCTTTTAGAGTTGACCTGCCACTGAAATTTTGACGGACAGATATTTAGTGAGGTTGTATTTGGAATATTCCAGTTAGCAAATGTACTAAATAACCTATACTGTTCAATTCTGAAAATGTATTTTAAATAGTACGTTAAATTAATTGCTGCCACTAACACTAGAGAATTGTACCATAACAGCATGGCATTATCTGCCCAACTTAGCAAAAGGATTGTCCAATTTCTTTTCTTCTGTGGTCTTTTAGCATGAAACGTACACTGGCCCAGTTGTCAAGTGACAACCCTGGGTGGGGAGGGTCACCCAGTGCTCTGCTCCTCCAGAAAGTAATGCTCAGCTCTTCCCAAAAAAAGGGGGTTATTTTTTTAGAGATTAGCTTTACCTGAAGGATGCTGAAATACATGATTACTGCAAATCTGATTAAACTGTATGCCCTCACTTGCAGCATTTTGTATT